CAAGTAAAAATGGCTATTTTGTGTTGTAATGGTCCTTTAAAAGAGTTCCAAGCTGTTTTGTGAGCTCAGATCTTTAAATCATGCATCTCCTGAAGGAAATCTAGTCATATTTATGTAGAAATAACCTTTGAGTGACTATACTGTGCCTTCAATCAATTTTTGACAGGTGAAAACCGATTGAAAACTGCAAAACACATAGAAACATGGGAAACTCGTGCTATATACGGCCAGATCAGATAAAAAACAATGCAGAGTCACGAGGATCGTTGCAAAAGTTATCATATCTTTATTGAAAACCCTCCAGTAAATCATATTTATTGTAGTGTAGTCTCCAATGTCAGGGCTACACAAAGTCATCAGACCGAGTATAAAAACATGTCTATCACGTAACTGCTGTTATGTGACAAACGTTAAGCTTTCGAATCTTTAATTAGGCCTATATTATAATGCAACTGTGTGTATCTGCATGTCATGACCGTTTAATCCAGAGAAAAGCAGGTTTACGCTATCGCTCAGCGGGCTGCGGTGCGCGCTCCCGCGAGCGCAATCAGATTCTCGCAGACATTCACTTTTTCGCACAACACCGGAAGTCTGATCTAATGATCCAAATTATTAATCTGATCAAATGATCCAAATGATTAATCTGATCTAATGATCGCATTTATTAATCTGATCAAATGATCCAAATTATTAATCTGATCTAATTATAGTATTTATTAATCTGATCAAATGATCCAAATTATTAATCTGATCAAATGATCCAAATTATTAATCTGATCTAATTATAGTATTTATTAATCTGATCAAATGATCCAAATTATTAATCTGATCAAATGATCCAAATTATTAATCTGATCTAATGATCCAAATTATTAATCTGATCAAATGATCCAAATTATTAATCTGATCTAATGATCGCATTTATTAATCTGATCAAATGATCCAAATTATTAATCTGATCTAATTATAGTATTTATTAATCTGATCAAATGATCCAAATTATTAATCTTATCAAATGATCCAAATTATTAATCTGATCTAATTATAGTGTTTATTAATCTGATCAAATGATCCAAATTATGAATCTGATCAAATGATCCAAATTATGAATCTGATCTAATGATCCAAATTATGAATCTGATCAAATGATCCAAAATATTAATCTGATCTAATGATCCAAAATATTAATCTGATCTAATGATCCAAATTATTAATCTGATCAAATGATCCAAATTATTAATCTGATCTAATGATAGTATTTATTAATCTGATCAAATGATCCAAATTATTAATCTGATCAAATGATCCAAATTATTAATCTGATCTAATTATAGTATTTATTAATCTGATCAAATGATCCAAATTATTAATCTGATCAAATGATCCAAATTATTAATTTGATCAAATGATCCAAATTATTAATCTAATCTAATTATAGTATTTATTAATCTGATCAAATGATCCAAATTATTAATCTGATCAAATGATCCAAATTATTAATCTGATCTAATTATAGTATTTATTAATCTGATCTAATGATCGCATTTATTAATCTGATCAAATGATCCAAATTATTAATTTGATCTAATGATCCAAATTATTAATCTGATCAAATGATCCAAATTATTAATCTGATCTAATGATCCAAATTATTAATCTGATCAAATGATCCAAATTATTAATTTGATCTAATGATCCAAATTATTAATCTGATCTAATGATCCAAATTATTAATCTGATCAAATGATCCAAATTATTAATCTGATCAAATGATCCAAATTATTAATCTGATCTAATGATCCAAATTATTAATCTGATCTAATGATCCAAATTATTAATCTGATCTAATGATCCAAATTATTAATCTGATCAAATGATCCAAATTATTAATCTGATCAAATGATCCAAATTATTAATCTGATCTAATGATCGTATTTATTAATCTGATCTAATGATCCAAATTATTAATCTGATCAAATGATCCAAATTATTAATCTGATCTAATGATCCAAATTATTAATCTGATCTAATGATCCAAATTATTAATCTGATCTAATGATCCAATTTATTAATCTGATCAAATGATCCAAATTATTAATCTGATTTAATGATCCAAATTATTAATCTGATCTAATGATAGTATTTATTAATCTGATCAAATGATCCAAATTATTAATCTGATCAAATAAACTGATCTAATGAGCTTATCTTAGCTCTGATGATCTACTTTCTTTTTCTTAAATCTCCTCCCTGATTAAAAAAAACCCTTGACCATCTTCTTCCCTCTTTGCTGTACTTGTTTTTATTGCACCAATAATTACCCCAATCCCATACCCCCACCCCCCACCCCGCCATTTTCCTTCCTTGGTGCTTTTCCCATCCTCTCTCCCTTGACCCTCCCACTGCCTCCTTTCTTTTTCTCCTCTCTCCTCCCACGCTGGCTTCCTCCAACCCTCCATTTTCATCCTCCCTTGTCTCCCCGAAGGACCAGCTCTCCACAGTCATCTCCCTCCAGAAGCTGATCGTCAGGGAGGTCGCCAACAAAGAGTGTGGCTTCTTCCTCATCACAGAGGGTACAGAGAAGCCGGAGTTGATGGAGATCCTGGCCAGCTCCAAGGAGGAACGCAACACCTGGATGCAGCTCATCCAGACAGCCGTGCAGTCCATGTGAGTGGGAATCATTTGGGTCTCCAGTGTGCTTCCTCAGCTTCTTTTTCTTTTTTTTTATCCCATCCTCCAACTTCTTTTGTAAGGCTTTGTTGTTTCGAAAAAACTTTTTTTCTTTTTACTTAATCCTCTCTGTGCTTAAGCTTGTAACTCTGCTGTGAACAGGCTCAGGTTTGGCCTCTCCTCTGCGCTCTAAGCTGGGGTTAGACTTTTCCCAGTTTTTTATGATAATGTACGTGAAGTTGGGACAAAGCACTATGCAGCCAGGAGGATTAGCTGCACTCTACCTGTGGATGGGATGTACTCAAGGACCATCTAATGCTGGATTGGCTGCGAGGGCAGCTCCCTTATAAGCAGAGGATTACTCGAATGCAGCCAGTGAGAAGAAGGAAGAGATTTAGCCCTCTGTCTCACTCCTTCCTCCTCTGACTTCTGTCAGAATACAAAACTGAAATCAAGCTGTTGGCAGGAGATGAGAAAAGAAAAACTCAATGCACACGCTATCTTCTCTCTGAATTATACATGTGAATGGGCTCTTCATAGGATGAGGCCGAAGCTCATTTTTAGCTTTTTTTTCCTCTGTGGGAGGAAAAGAAGTTTGAAAAATGTCAGAAAGTAGAGAAAGTTATTAAGAAATGTAAAATGAGTAAGAACTCTAAAGGTTTATTAGAAGGTTAATTTAAATACAGGTTTCTATTTTCCTTATCTATTAGCTTTTAACTTAAAATGTAATCATCGAGTTTAATAGTTCACCCTAATTACGGTAAATAAGTGGCATTTTTTAGATTTTTGCACAGTAACTATTTAAGATTTTCAAATTTTAATGCTCTCTTTTACAGTCTGCAGTTTAATCTGTGATGCATCTTGTGCTCTTCACATCTGTGCAGGGACAAAGACGAAGATGAGGGGATCCCCAGTGAGACGGAGGATGACAAAAGACAATTGGAGAGCAAAGCCAAAGAGATCAGAGGTGAGAAGAACACATCAAACAGGCTTTTGTGGAAAGAAACACCAAAAGTATTTTTCATTTTTTCCTCGGATGCCGATACCATTGTCTGTTTCTGCCGGCCAGATATGTTGAAGCAGAAAGACACAGAGATTATCTCTCTGTTGGAGGAGAAGGTGCTGCTCTTCAGGGAGATGTGGGAGGGCTTAAGCACCAGCGAAGAGGCCTACAGGCAGGTCGAGCCTTTTTTCAGGTCAGCCTGCAGCCAGGAGTCTATCATGAAAGATGCTCTGCAGGAAGGTAAGACGGAGGAAGTGAAGCTTGTGGTGTTTGTGGTGTAAAGACATTTCTCTTTAAGTGTCCTTGGATGTGAAGCAACACTGACATGAATTCTGTGAGAGGCAGACAGGAAATGTTTCCTATAAGATCATAGCATCAACTTCTGTTGTTAAGGAACATCAGGACTAAAATTAGGTTCAAATTAGGTTATCTATGATGTTCCAGTAATGTCACACGTTAAACCAGTCATGTTTCTGCTGCATAGGGGCAATTACTGTTCCTAGAACATACACTGATATCTGTTTTAGCCCAGAAAACAGCCTTGTCTGCAAGGTTACCACCTTTGCACTGCAAAAAAATGGAAATCTAAATGAGTCATTTCCGCTTAAATATAGTGCATTTTTTATTATATTGACAAGGTAAGTGAGATACTTTGCAAATGGAACAAGTCAATTTACATTTAAAACAAGGAAAAAAAACAATTGCTTTGTCTTATTTAAAGTGCATATTATCTAATTATCTTATTTTAGGATTAAAAATACAATTTTTATTGGCAAATCATCTTATTTATCTGCTAAAATTAAGGGTAGGTACACTTAATTTAAGACGTTTTCTACTTGTGAACACCAGGTCCTTATTGACAATTTACCCCCAACTCATGTTTAGGCTCCAATTTCTAGAATGACCTGTGTACACTGCAAAAAACGATCAAGAAAAAAGTAAAACATTCTTAAATCAAGTGTATTTACCCTTAATTTGAGCAGGTAAATATGATCTGCCAATGGAATGAGTGTTTTTTTTCTCTTAATATAAGATGATTAGATAATATGCACTTGAAATAGGACCATGCAATTGTTTTTTTTTCTCATTTTAAACGTTAAGTTGTCTCATCTATCTCAATTGAAGAAAAAAATATTTTGTTTAGATTTAGATTTTTTGCAGTGCAGAGTCTGGACAATGATCATGATAAAAACACAAAACCTGGTGTGTGTATGTTTGTTTGCAATCCTGCTGAGCCAGTACCTCTAGAACCGGCTTCCTCTACCAGCTTCACACATTTAGAGAGGAAACAAAATGTAGACTGTTTTAGACGTTTAAGCAGAGGAGCTGGAGCTGGAAGATTGGATGGAGGTTTTCTGTAAACATGGATTTCCTTGATTATCGCAGAGAATCTCAGCTGGGTTTGTTTAGGTTGCTATGGTGATGTTGTTTCCACTTCTTTTGGCTTTTTTGAAGAATATGTCTCTTGTTTCCTCTCTTTCATGGAGACTAGGTTTGTGTAGCAGGCAGCCATGTTTGGTCTGATTCTTTCTATTTTGAGACGAAGGACTAACCAGAGCACTGTCATAAAATCACAACTTGGTTTCTTGTTTAATAACCCCAGGTTGGCGTTGGTGACATTTAAAGGAGTTTCATGGATGTGAATACTTTTGTATGACTCTGCAAAGGACTCTCGTCAGATATTATCTATCCCTGCTTCTGAGTTAGTTTTCTAATCAGAGCTGAAGCACGAGCTTCTTTTCTTTAAATGTGTGCTGAAAACATAAAAGGAATCAGGATGAGTTTGGAGACTGCACTCAGGCCATGTTTTGGGCTTTTCTCTCGTTTCATCAAATGTTTATGAGAAGAAAGCAGAAGCTGAGAGCAAAACTCGCTGCACAGGATCTGTATCTTGAGACAAAGAGATGGGAATACGGAGAGAAAGACAGAGCTGCACGGCACATTCTCTGCCCATTAAGAGCTCTTTTAGCTGCATGTTTTTCTGAAGGTGAGCTGGGTTGTGCTTATTTTAGGAAAAGTTAGTAAGGTTTACTTTTCAGGAGAAAAAAAGAAAAGGTTTTGCATCCAGTTGGTTTTATGCGGATCAACATAGGTTTTTATTAGTTTATTCAGAAATGTAAAGGTTATATTTGTGACTTTTGTTTTGCAGCAAGATCACTTCCCAGTAGGTCTCTCATGTTTTGGGTATTCCTGTTTCAGACCTTGCCTGAAGCCGAGTTAGTGGCCTAACAGTCAGAGCTGGTGGTTAGATAAGGAACACTCACACTGCTCCAAAACTGGAAGCATCCCTGCAGGCAGAGAAAACTCTAAACAAACATGAAAAGTATTTTTCAGCTTGCATCTTTACTTTCTATTCACTATTTGCAGTTTTTTTTTACTTCTGCAGCCTTCCCAATACAGACGGCTGATTTCTGATTTACTTTTATACCTCCTGGGTTCACCTCAGGTCTCCTGCACATGCTGCATTTTTTTCTTCCCAGAGTTAATATTGCTTTCAAATTGCAAATATATTGAAACTTTTAGTGAAGAAGCTCTGTGGATCCAACAGGTGGGTGGCGGTTGCTCGGCAACAGGAGCCAGGAGTGTCTGGCTGAATTCTTGGTTGCAGAACTGAGCTATAACACAGTTAGCTGGGATAATCCACTTACTGACCTGTGCATTAATGCTTGCCTGTGTGTGTGTTTTTGTTTGTGTGTGTTGATCACAGTGGAGACGTTGCAGGCGCTGTTGAATGGCAGCCTGGGCGGAGCGATGGCCAGCGTACACGAGGGGGGAGGCGCTGGGCCGGTGTGTCTGCCCCGCAGCAAGACTAAGGCCACACTGTAACTCTGCATGATTGTTTACGTCAGATTGTTGAATCAGATTCTGGAAGCAGGAAATCTGCTGAACCCCAACCTGTGTGTCAAGGTTCTGATGTTGCTGTTAAAGTCTATTATTAATGTTTCACTGGAGCTCAAACAGCAGCAGGAACCACACCCAACACTTCCCACAATCCACCTGTTCAATGTCATGAATGAGATATTTTAGAAGCCGCTCAGGAGAGTAGAGCAGAGACCCCCAAGGGGGCGTTGCCCCGAGGGATCCCTCTCAGCTGGTGGCTTAAAAACGGATGCCGACAAACTCATTGAGCTGTTCTAGGTTCATACTTCTACATCAGCAGCAGTGATCGGGGAAGCAAAATACAGCAAGGATAGTTATGCACTGGAAAAATGGTCTAGAAATAAGTAAAAATTGCTTAAACTAAGTTTATTTATCCTTAATTTGAGTAGGTAAATGAGATAGTTTGCCAATGGAATTAGTATTTTTAAAATAAGATAATTAGATAACATGCACTTGAAATAAGACAATGCAATTGTGTTTTCTTATTTGAAGTGTAAATTGTCTTGTTCCATTGGCAAAATGTCTTTTTCCTCAATCCAAGAACAAATGCACTTATTTTAAGAAAAAAAGACTTATCTAGATTTTTTCCAGTGTGTTAACTGTAATGTGATATAATTCGGGTATTTGAGAAACCAGAGAGAGAGAACAATGCAGCAAATAATAAAACTGGTTCACCGTGTCAAAAATCAAAGATGGTTGTAAATTTCTTTGCCACTTCAGTGGATGGTGGAGTCATAGCAGCTGACAAAATATAGACGGCACAAAACAAGTGGAATAATACTTGCACTACATTTAAAAATACAGCTGTGGAATGTTTATACTCCCTTATTGCTAAGAGACTGAAAGCTCTGTTGGTGCAGCTTTCTATAAAAAAAAAAAAGGATAATTAAATTCTGTCTAAAGTTTTAAGCAGTGAAAATGCGCCAGAGTTCATGGAAAACAAAGTGACCTGACTTCATTAATTTGATGTTATTTTTATGTGAGCTAACTGATGGAAATCGCTGAGCTTCATCTATTGTTTCTATCGTAAATTCAATGTAGTTACCATGCTGCTGATAGGGAATGAAATAAAAAGCCTTTAATTTCTGCCTTGTGTTTGTATTCAGCCCTCTGGGTAAATATGTTGATGATCCAGATTACACCTGCATTTATTACACCTCCAAATCCTTTCAGGTTTATCTTCCTACCAGTTTTGCAAATGGAGAGATGGAAATGTTGTCTATTTTCTTTTTGAGTCAGATTTCTCGAAGAGCAACCATGAAGAGAAATTTTGAAGATGTACCACAAATTCAAATTGCGTTACATCTGGAATTTGGACCATTGCATTTCATTATAATGCTTTCATCTCAACCATTATATCGTTCAGTTCAACTCACTCTATCTCTATAGTGCTAATTCATAAACAGGCCATATCAAGGCACTTTACAGAGACAGCACAGTCAGACGAGTTAAAGGTTTCAATGAAGGAAAGCCAATTGATTGCATCCAGTCATTGACATGTGCGACACGCTCCTCTTGGATGAGCATGCAGTGACTTTCACTTACATTTTGTCATTGACTCTTCAGCCGTCCTTCACACCGAGCATGTATGTAGTGAGAGTAGAGAGGAAAAACTCCCTTTTAACAGGGAAAAACCTCCATCAGAACTAGGCTAATTGTTAGCGGCCGTCTACCGAGGAGAAAGAAGCAGACTTCCAAAAGTTAAAGGGCTGGTTATACTCCCCGCAGCAGTGTGTATTTTTCATTTATGCCCAATATTAAAGCGTGGTCTGAGCTATGTTATTCCACACCACAATGCAGGAGGGACACAAGCTAGCTGTGGCGGTGAGGAAGTGGGGGCAAGTTTCTGTGACAACAGAGGATGGAAGAGAGCATATACAGTTGGTCACAGTAAAGAAATAGGACTACACAGAAAGAAATGGTGCCAAATTCAACATCTATAAATAGGGATGTTGATGGCAGCAGCACAGCTGATATTTCTGTCCAGAATAAGTCACAGCTGAACAGTAACAGACCAGATAAAGCTACCATGACAAGAAAAGGCAGAGAGAGAGCATACAGTTATTGGTGGAGCTTAAGCAGAATGATGCAGAATGATGAAAAGTGGTCCCCATGTCCTCCAGCATCCTAAGCCTAAAGCAGCAAAGATATGGAGGAATTAGCTCAGGATAACCTAACTATTTTGTATGAGTTATGAGAAAGGTAGAGCTGTCATTGCTCTAGCCCTATGTCTTGTGCTAGAAAGTGAACTGCCTAAGCTTCTAGAGTTATTCTTTTTTACATCAGCTTTTCCCTGTATCTACTGAACCAAAGGATCACCAACCATGATATCAAGCTATTTCTTTACGGGCAATTGTCTGTGTTAGTTTTGTACTAACATGTATATATATATATATATATATATATAAAAAAAAAATTTCTCACCCCTCGTGGGGTGGTATGTGTCATCCTCAAGCTCGGGTCCTCTACCAGAGGCCAGGGAGACAATAAATATATATATATATATATATATATATATATATATATATATATATATATATATATATATATATATATATATATATATATAGGCACTAATCATGGCAGCACAAGAACAGGCACTCAATTCAAGAACAATAGAGGCCAGGGTCTACCACACCAGGCAGGACCCCCGATGCAGACTGTGCAAAGATGCCTCTGAAACAATACAGCACATAACAGCAGGGTGTAAAATGCAGGCAGGAAGTGCATACATGGAACACCACAACCAGGTAGCTGTCATAGTGTACAGGAACATCTGCCATGAGTATGGGCTGGAAGTCCCAAGGTCAAAATGGAAGACACCTCCTAAGGTAGTTGAGAATGACCGAGCTAAGATCCTATGGGACTTCAAGATCCAGACTGACAAACAGGTGATGGCTAACCAACCAGACATCGTGTTGATCGACAAACAGCAGAAGAAGGCAGTAGTGAAGAATGCAGATATATACATATATAATATATATATATATATATATATATATATATATATATATATATATATATATATATATATATATATATATATATTATATATATATATATATATATATACATATAATATGTAATATATGAGATGAGACTCATTTCTGCTGTATGTAAATCAAAGAAGTCAGAATATTTTCTTACTATTTTCAGATGTTCTCTTTCAGAAAGGTAAAGGAGGGAAACAACAATAGATATATTCACCTTCTATATATACCTTCTGGGAAAACAACCCTACAGAGCTTTGTGCAGTCAAACACTTTGCACTACATGCACTGGTTTGACTTCACTCAGTCTGTGCTCTTGTTTGTGTGCAGGGAGGAAACGCCAACCTGCTGCAGCTGCTGAAGAGGAACAGTGAGGTAAGGACTTCTTCCTCTCTCTGAATCGACTTAGGCTACGTTCACACTGCAGCCTGAAGTGACCCAATTCTGATCTTTTTGCCCATATGTGACCTGTATCTGATCTTTTTATGACAATCTGAACGACACAGATCGGATTTTTTCAAATGCGACCCAGGCCACTTGGATATGTGGTCCTGAATCCGATACGTATCTGATCTTTACAAATGCGACCTGTGTCTGTACGGCCAGGTCGCATTCATCCGACCTACACTTCATTGATACTTGACAAATGTTACTAAACGTTACTAATCTGCGTCCTACTAAGCGGAGGCGGGAAAAACTAACAACCATGGCGGAAGATAACACAGAGAGCAGTCAATGGAGAGAAAGTGAGGTTGCTGACTTAATTCATATTTGGAAAGATAGCTCGATTCAGACCAAACTCGAAGGGTCTTACCGGAACCGGGGGAGGGTCTTTCTTTTTGATCTTCTTAAAAAGATTTCGTTCGTAATATGCCTGCTCCTGGAGAAGAACTTAAAGAACGCAATATACGCTGCGGTATTACGAGTCATGTTTACTTCCGCAAACACTGAGGACGCTTGCTACATGTGACGTCATCGCGTCCTCGAGTTCGCATGCGGGACACTTCGGTTGAACGCTTTCAGTTCACACAGTAGATCACATACAAGTCGCATATACTTGGAAGTGTGAACGGACACGCAAAAAAATCTGATTTCACAAAAAAAATCGGAATTGAGCATTAAGGCCTGCAGTGTGAACGTAGCCTTAGAGACGCTGTTGGCATGGAAACGTACAAAACACTGTTGTTGTCAGCTTTAGGCTGAAACTGCAGCCCAACCCATACGTGATTTTGCAGCAGCTGTGGGTGTTGCATGAAGTGTTTTGCAGAAAAAGTAAGACAGCAAAAGAAAGGAAGGAAAAAACACAGTTAAAAAAAACATAAACAGGAGTTTGGAATAGAAACTATAAAGAAAATTAAAAAGAAATGCTATACAGAGCAGGTTGTGTACAGCTAATGCCTGAACTACAGATCTGTGATGATGCTCTGCTGCAGATTTTACTGCCACAGCTTTAAAAGCTTTATGAGTTCGCTTTCAAAGCACCTAGTAACATCATATGGATCATATTTGTAGGCTGGTAAACACTCAGCAAAGTAAAGGTCAGTGGCCTGGTTCTATTTAGTGTTTAAAAAGAAGAAAATGTCACATCCAGAATGCACTGCAGCTTCTATAAACGCTGCAGGACGGTGCCCTGTTCAACCATTCACAGCGCTAGAGCTGTCTCACATTTTGTCAGGTTACAAAAACAACCCTAAAGGTATTTTAATGGGATTTTAGATAGATGACAAAAATGGAAAGGACAAATATTTATTATTTAAGCGTATATTCATGTGTGTATGTTTGTTCTCAGCTGAAAATCAGCTAGATTGGATATGATGAAATACATCCGTCCGCCGGCAGTTTTCAAATCTTGCATTAAAATCAAGATCTAAACTTGTTCCCAGCCATTCTGGAACATCAGTAGCATTCAATCTAAAGCCTTTCATTGTAGTTCTGGCCCTACGTTAATGTTTTTGTTTTTGCTTGTTTGTTTAAACTGTGACAGATTTTATTTTGTCATTTGTAAACACAAATGTTTACAAAAAGAAATTTGTTTTAGTACAGCTTTCTAGACTCTAGGTTACGCATGTGCTGAATAACTTGCTACCCATGAACCTAACAAATGATTTGATGTTTTACAAAATTATGTAAAATTTAACTAAATAACCAGTGATATGCAAATTTTGGTTTCAAATAATAAGAGGGGGTTCGTTATCTTATGCAGACCAGTTAGTTAAATATCAACGGTCATAGCATCTTGATTCATATGTCACAGCTAATATACGCAACGGTTAAAATCAGAATCATTTCCTTTCCCACTAAGTTCCGTCCCAGTGTTCATGGGGATGGACATCTGTGTCTTCAGCAGGCGTAGAGCTAACAGAACTGGCAGCGTTGCGAAGCAAGGGCTCAAACATGTACGGCTGGAAGCCTTCTACACCAAACCAAGCTTCTGCCGCCCTGGCGTCCTCTTCCACAACATCTTCATCCCCGCTTTCCTCCTCTAAATAAAAAATGTATGATGGAGGAGGCTCATCCACGACCTCCGACACAAAACTCTCCTCCTCTTGCATGTTTCCGCTGTCCATAGCGTTCCTTGACAGTGTTTTTTAAGTCACCAATTTAGTGCTACTTGGTCCCATTGGAATTTCCCATTGGGAACCTACTAGCTCTAAGTAGCTAACTGGTTAGCTAGATGCTTCCGACAAACCGGCTACAACCAAACTTGTCTGTGTACCTTCTGCTACAACAACCCCGCCCCCTTGATGAACGACCAATCACATTCACTTTATTCACTCGTGTAAAGTCGGGAGGATTCGGAAATGCAAGGTTGGAACAGCCGCTTCCCTGCGACTTTAAAGAGGGACGGTCAATGCTAATTTCCTTTTAGACATACCATCTTGTACAGAAAAAGCTTACTTTGGCTTTCCTTCTGACCTGATCTCCTGCTTTCATATATCCAACAGCAGATTTGTAAAGTTTAGTCATGATAACTGCAGGATGTTAGCAGGTTGTTTGACACTCATTATGTTCCCTTGTTCTAACAGCAGGTCCTACGCAGCGTCTCCAACCTGCATCTCCTGCTCAGCACTCTGCAGGTACGCCTCCTCCTGAAGTCTGCATCTGCAGGATTTATGTCAGAAATAAAAACATGATTGTGAAGTTTTAAGTTAATGTACATTTTAAGAAGTTTCTCTTTGTGCAAAAAGATCTGATCATAAATATTTTGATAACAGTATAGAATCATCTTAGAATTTCATGAGTTAAGTGTCTATTGTGATCGTTGATGCCTTGTGTGTCTCAGGCAGTGGTGGTCCAGCAGAACAGCTACATCGAAGACCAGCGGCAGTCCTCCCGTCCCAGCTCCCTGATTGAGCAAGAGAAGCAGCGCAGCCTGGAGAAGTAGAGGGAGGAGTTGGCCTCCCTGCAAAGGCAAGTGGCTGCTCTCACCGAGGAGAGGCGGAAGAGGGAGAAGGAGTGGGAGTTGAGGGAGCAGCAGCTTTCTGAGAGAGACTAGGCGGTGCACTCACAGGTAACGATGCATCATCTTCCCCCAGCCTTGTTCTCCATTAGGTTCTAAGGAGGTGTAGTTCTTAATATAACCGCTGGCGTTTATTTTTCAGCAGAAAAATAAATGCTGAGGGAGTCATGCAGGAGTGCTTCACAAGCTGCAGGGGGTTTCTCTTCGTCATAACACAATAAAGTGGGAAGTCTTTTGCATAAACTAGTTTTCTTCACTGCTTTGTTGTTTATCACAGGCGACCTTAGTTCCTTGAAATTTCATCACACATTTATTAAACTTTTTCTAAGATCATGAGGAAAGGTGCAAAGTAAACTTATCAGGAAATATGATTGGTTTTGGGTGATAGGATTTAGCTGTTTTTTTTTTTTTCAACGAAAGTTACACATAAAAAAAAATGTTGTTTCAGGTCTTATTTGCTGCAACACCAGGCTTAGGTGTTGCATAAACCTTCATATCCCCAAATCTGTTAGAAAAGTTTTCAGAGGCAGAAAAGTGCCTGGACCTTGAGGGGGGGTCAAAATGGCAGAACTTGAGAATTGCAGGAGTCAAGAAAGGGCTGGAAAACAGGCAAAAAAATCTAGAGACTTTGTAGCAAAGCTGCTGACAGATGTCTTACAGTTGGATGAAAGACCACTGATTGACCAAGCTCATAGGGCACTGCGAGAGCGCCCGGGTGATGGTGAACCACTGCAGCACTCGATCGTCAGGGTGCACTACTGTCATGCCTTCAAGGAAATTCTGAAGAAAGTAATGCAGTCACGAAACCTCACTTATCAAGGCTAGCGAATTCAAAGCCGCTGCACTGCAGCCAGAAACCTACTCGGTTACAAACCCGGAGTGAGATTCGGCCTTGTATACCCAGCCAGGCTGAGAGTTACACACAACGGCAGGGAGACTACATTTACAGACGCAGAGAAGGCGCGGTTGTTTGCTGAAGGCCTGGTTGGCCGTGATCGCAATGAATCTGAAGGAGAGAGAGGTGATGGGGGAGAGGATGCATGAGAACACTTCCACTGCTGTTTGACTTTATGGCGTCCTTCTTTTATTTAGATCAGCTGATGTGCGTTCCACCTTTCCAAGGAATTACATTAGACCATAGGGATTATCATTCTACAGCCTCAATATCTTACTCTGATAATAATAGGCGAATTGTTATACTATTTTTGTTATTTTTATTATTATTATCATTATTATTATTATTATTAGGGCTGGGTATCGATTCAGATTTTCCAAATTGATTCGATTCGATTCACAAGGGCCCGATTCGATTCGATTCACAATTATTGTTTCGTTTCCTTGATATGGAAGACATTCTCAGAAGAACCAATGCTGCAAATAGTAGAAACTTCTAGCTCAAACTTGGAGCATTACTAAAAAATTTACATATTTACATTAGGAATTAAACCCAACACAGTTACATTAATCATGTATGTTTTATTTAACATGACCTGACCAAATCAACTCAAATCACAGAGCAGGCTGTGTAAATAAAGTGGCAACAAACACACTGAATACGCATGACATTCACATTCTTTGACTGTCTCACAAAGCTTTTGTGCTAATGTTCCAGTGGTTGCAAAACAAATCTGTCTCATAAGAGACACAATCAAACAGATGAATAAATAATTGTAAATGTAAGGATACTAACAGAAATGAAAAAGTATCAGAACTGTCTTAAAGTGCAAAAGTCAGGTCTTTAGTAAACATAACACTTAAATACCTATTAACAGTAAATTTTGATAAAACAAGATACAAAAATTAAATTCTGTTTTGCTTTTGAAGCATTTACATCCTGAACTCTGAATTCCCTCATGTCCTATTTTAGTCAGACTATCAAAATAACAAAACATTAACAAGAATATTTTAAGAAGGCTTTGCAATTGCATATCGCAAAAGTATAATGAACTGTATTTTTTGGAAATGTTTATATAAAAAAACTTTCCATGAACCATGAAACTCACACAGTATGTGAAACCTAAACCCCTTACATATGTGTGTTTTCTTAATTAATGCTGAATTGTTGTAGATTTTTCTGCAAGAAAAGTAGCTGATCTACATGTTGCGAAGTGAGGCAGCTCCTTTTTGCTGTAACAATATCGCCAGCAGTTGAGAATACTCTTTCAGATGGGACACTAGTCCCAGGTACACATAAGTACCGCTTTGCTTGATGAGCCAAAAGGGGGTACTCCTCAGCATGCACCTTCCACCAGTGCAATGGATTTTCAGAAAGTGGTAGATGTGCTAATTCCCTGTATCTTTTCACTTCTTCCTGTGCCTGGTCAGCAAGAGTTCTGAGTGGCACAGTGTCATTTGGCTTGTAGGCTGACCCTAGAAGAAACATCAGCGCAGAAGATTTCTTCTGCCTCTTTGGTGGGCAAACCTCCTCCTCAACAGGCTCAAGGGCAGTCTCTGTCTGCTGCACAGGCGGAGTTTCCTCAGCTGGATCGACAACAGATTCTTCCTGTAGATAGATGAAAACATACAGAATAAACTTAATTTTAAATCAATTAGGCACTTGCTGTGGAAGTCAAGTGTTACATATTTCTGCTAGTACAAAACTTTATGATTTAAATTCAAATACTGCTGCGTACAAGAACAGTCAGGACTCAAGAGGAATCTATTATTTATACTTATACTTTATCATCAGTACTTGTCTTGTAACTTACATTTGATGCCTCTGCCTCAACTTGCTCCCCACCAGCAGCTTCCGCCATTAGCCTGTTGAATGTGTCATCTCGGGCAACATCGGACAAAAAAGGGAGGCCCTTGAAGCGGGGATCTAATGCTGACGATCAATACAGCTTGTCCTTTAGGGCCACATATCTTAAAGAGATTAAACATATTTAAATTAGATATATATCATGGCACTATATATTGTTATATCTTACACAGCAAGACAGACACCTATGGAGGATAAAAAGTGCCAAAATTAAATAAATACAGCATTAAATAAATAATTAAATGTGTCAATAATGAATTAAATGAGGAATTAATTAAATAAATGTGTTCCTTATTTATTTAATGAATTACACATTTAATTCATTGTTTATCGCTGTATTTATTTATTTAATTGTGGCACTTTATATTAGTGACATGATTTTAATTAATGAATGACACATTTATTTACTTAATTCCACATTTAATTAATTATTGACACATTTAAATATTTATTTAATGCTGTATTTATTTATTTAATTTTGGCACTTTTTATCCTCCATAGACATCTAGGCATACCTTGAATTTAAGTTGTTATATGCAGCAGTCTTGACTTCTTTTATCACTGTGGAGTCGCAGGGGGTGCAAGTCATCTGGTCCAGCAGCTGTGCCTGCAGAGGTGCAATGACTGATAGAGTAGGCGACCTTTCTTCCGACATGACCAGTGTAGCTGCTTTCAGTGGCTGCAGAGCTTTCACCACATCTTTGGCAACTGTTATGTCTTCCTCTGTCAGGGTGCAGAGATCTTTTTCATTCCTGCATACTTCAGGTGACAGCAGAGCAGCTGAGATTGCTGGTTGCTGCTCTAGAAATCGGTCCAGCATTTCCAGTGAGCTATTCCAGCGTGTCACAACGTCCATCACCAGTTTATGTAAAGGCAGGCCCAGTAACCTTTGCTTCTCTTTAAGCTTGTGGCTTGCTGTGGTGCTACGATGAAAAAATGATGCGATGCACCTTACTTTACATAGCAGGCGAGCCACAGCTGGGATTTTCAGCGCTGCTTGTGAAACTAAATTGATGATGTGTGCAAAACAGCCGACGTGCAACAGGTCCATCATTTCCACCGCACGGACAATATTTGCAGCATTGTCCGTTACGATGGCTGGCTCTTTGTCTGTCAGCTCCCATTCTCCAATTGCTTCAAACAATAGGTCACGTAAATTACTCGCAGTGTGGCTAGTTTCAACTGCTCTTGTCTGTAGGACATGCCACTTTAGGTCCCACTCGTTGTCGATGTAGTGAGCAGTTATAGTTAGGTATGACTCAGTTGCCCTAGAAGTCCAACAATCACAGGTAGGGGCAACTCTCGTTGCTGTTTTAAGCGTCCTTGCAAAGCCTTGTTTTACATCTGCGTACATGCTTGGGATTATTACCTCACTAAACTGTTTGCGTGAGGGTATAACGTAGCGTGGCTCGAGCATCTTCATAAGGCCACGGAAACCTTCATTTTCAACCACGCAGTATGGTTGTAAGTCTTTGCAGATGTATGTAGCGATAGCCTTAGTTATTTTCTGAGCACGCTGGGAGTTTGCTGGTAACTTGATATCAAATGCCTTCTCGAGCTGCATCTGCCTCGGGGCTGAATCAGATTGTGTTTGTGCTGAGTGGTGTCTCGTTAAATGGTTTCGAAGATTAGTTGTGTTTCCACAATACCTCACTTCTGCATAGCAAATCTTGCAAACCGTCTTGCTCTTGTCCAGTTCACTGCTGTCATTTTTTTTTTATACCAAAATATTTCCAGACATCTGCCTTCAAACTTCTTGGCGGTGATTTCAGAGCTTCCGCCATATTGTTTTGGTGCGCTCCTCTCGCGCAGTGACGAGATCTCACGGGACGCGAGAAGTCATGAATGTATGAAAAGACGTATTATAATGGATCGATTTATGGTTTTTATGGATCGATATCGGGCTATTGAAAGGGAAATCGATTCAAATCGATTTAATCGATTTTTTTACCCAGCCCTAATTATTATTATCGAGCTGGTAAAATTTTCAGTTTGATCTGGAAAAGGACGCTATGATGCCTGATACAGCATGAAAGGCCCAACCCCCAGGCTTTTTGGACACATTATGCAAGAATGCTGCTTGCTGCCGCGATGAATAGTGGCGTTTCTAAACTGTTGTCAGGGATGGCTGTGATCGACCCAAAAGTCAGTGAGCTAATCCGGAGTATTCCCATTTTAAATACAGTGAACCCTCGTTTGTCGCGGAGGTTACGTTCCAAAAAGAACCCGCGATAGGTGAAATCCGTGAAATAGAAACCTTTTTTTTTTTTTTTAGAGTTATCATACAATGAAATACTCCATACAACATTGAAATCAACGAACAAAAAGGTTTTACAGGCCCAAGCATTTGTTTAACAAATAAAAGTATGGTATAAACGTTGTTAACTACTGTACTGGACTGTAAAATAATATAGTTATAAATAAATAAGTAATAATTTGAATCATCAATACTAAATGAAGAGTTAATATTGCGGGGATCAGCACCGCCGTGACGGATTGGAAGGGGAGAAAATGAAAAATGATTTTGAAAAAAAATACAAAGTACAGTGGGACAAATAGTGACTTCTGACGGAGCCGCTGCATCCTGATTGCTCTGTGGCGTTTTTTTCTTCTAAAGCCTGCGGTGCATGTATGTTTTTGAGAGAAGAAGTTATCGGTAGTTGTTGTCGCTCTTTTTTCTTCTGGGCCAAAAGATCCTTATAAACCGACATGCCACCATTGATTATGTTTGACAATAAAGTTTAACAATGCATGATGCAAATCCGTGACGCAGCGATACCGTGAAAAGTGAACCGCGTTATAGCAAGGGTTCACTGTAATGTAAACTGTGGAGAGTTTCAAATACCTGGGTGTTCACGTCAATAATAAACTGGACTGGACTCATAACACTGACGCTGTGTATAAAAAGGGCCAGAGCCTCCACCTCCTGAGGAGGGCCTTTGGAGTCAGCAGGCCCCTCCTTAAAATCTTTTATGACTCTGTGGTGGCCTCAGCCCTCCTCTACGCTGTTGTCTGCTGGGACCCTGGCAGCTCAGAGCGGGACAGAAAGAGACTGAATAAGCTGGTAAGGAAGGCCACTTCTGTCCTGGGCTGCCTCAATATCTTACTCTGATAATAACAGGCGTATTGTTATACTATTTTTGTTATTTTTATTATTATTATCATTATTATTATCATTAACTGTAATGACATAGAAGATTCCTAGATGACTTGCAGAGACATCATTTTCCCTTCTCATTTTCTCCTGTATTTATGTGAATAATTAATTGCTGTAAATAAATAAATAAATAAATAAATGGGTGAAATAAATACAAAATGAGTAAAATAAATCAAAAAATGAAGAAAATGAGTGAAATAAATAAAAAATGTGTTAAATAAATAATTTAGCTTTTCATTAAACCAATTTTTTATTTATTTATTTTTCATATTATCAATTTCCCAATTTCTCTTTTTCATTTATCTATTTGTGATTTATCCCTTTATCCATTTACCCATTTTTCATTAATCTAATTTTCATTTAACCACTTTTCAATTTCCCTTTTTCATTAAGCCAATTTTTTTATTTATTTTTCAGATTATCTATTTCTCAATTTCTGTTTTATCTATTTTTCATTTATCTATTTTTCATTTGTCCATTTTTCATTTATCCCTTTATTTATTTACCCATTTTTCATTAATCTATTTTTTAATTTAACCATTTTTCAATTTCCTTTTTCCATTAACCCGATTTTCTATTTCCCAGTTTCATTAATCAATTTCTCATATATCCCTTTTTTTACTTACCCATTTTCTTTTATCTATTTTTCATTTACCCATTTTTCATTAATCTCTTTATCAATTTACCCATTTTTCATTAATCTATCTTTTAATTTAACCACTGTTCAATTTCCTTTTTCCATTAACCCGATTTCCTATTTCCCGGTTTCATTAATCAATTTCTCATATATCCCTTTTTTATTTACCAATTTTTCTTTTATCTATTTTTCCTTTACCATTTGTTTGAAACATTTTTAATTTTCCCATTTTCCAATTTCCCTTATTCATTAAGTATTTCCTTATTTTTTAATTTATCACATTCTATTTTCCCCTCTTCGCTTCTGCTTTAATATGATAATGAGGGGCGGTGTCTTCAGGCTACAATGGCAGCCTATTGGTTGGTTAGATGCAACTGCAGCGCTCAGTTCCTGTGGACTTTCCCTCCGAAAAGCAGTCTAGAAATGGCGAACACAGAGGGTGCAGCACGTTCTGTATCGGTTCTTCTTAGGGAAGCTGCCGATCGAATTGATGAACTAGAACGCTGTAAGTTTAATATCCGACATGTTTTATGGTCCTTTGAGATTTGTTTAACTTTTACTTTTGAAAAAACAGCTTCAACTTCGACTGCTACTGAACAGCCACTTGCAGTCACAGAAAACTGGAGGACTACGGGTACTTGTAAGTTATCAAGCTTTATACATATTTTTTGTTTAATTTAGGTCTCTACAATAAACTATCATGTTGTAACGTAAAAACGTCCTCTTTTTATTCAAAAGACATCTCTACGCTTCATTGTTTTTTTCTTCAGGCTTGCATTATGTTACGCGTTTATCTATGCTTTTATTTTGAAATCTTTCCCTGCACTTCCGGGGCCAGCCGTGAAACCGTCTTTGTCGAATTGGCGAAATCCAAAAACGGGCTGGTTTTTTCATTACGTTTTTTTGTTTTTTCTTTTCTAAATTGTGGTAACAGAAAAGGAAAAACGGCTTGGTTTTCCGTTTTTGATTTCTAAACGAAAAACGGAAGTAGCTTCCGTTTTTGGTTTTTAGGGAAAAAAACGAACTGCCTGAAGGTACACGGACCTTCAATTGATTCTTGATTAATGTCTGGGTTTGCAAGTAAATGTACAGAGAGTCACACAAAGCAAAAGAGTGCTGCACTGCACAACTGATATACTATGGTTAATCTATTTCCAAAGCTTTATATCCTAATCCATTTTTGTAAAAATTAACAGAACAACAGGAACCAAGGCCAGGAACAGCCAGTCGCACTTCTTTGGGCCGACATCCAGTTGATGGTAAGTTCATTTTGCTGACGAGATATGATATGATATATATTACTTTATATTCCTAGGGTAAAATAGTATATTGTGCTTCTTAAAGATGTCCGATCTTCAAGCATGAGGGCAGGACGTCCCCCTTTGGATGTTCCTGGGGAAATACTCACCACCTTTGCCATGGCTGGTCTCCCAACCCGACAAATGTCAGATTGGTGTGGTGTCTCCTCTAGGACAATCCAGAGGAGATTAGCCCAAGAGAATTTAAGGTAAGTTAAACAACTACACGTAAATTCCATCCTGTTTAACCGTCATTTCATGAGTTGCCACAGCTAACATAGCCACATTAGCCACATTGTTATCTAGTTGTGGTAAGTGGTGGGAATAATAAACAAAGCTCTGCATGCCTTTTTATTTTATACATCATCCGTACAGTTAATATTTAGAGCGTAATATTGACAACCTAACAGCTGAAACCAATGGAAGTCATCTTTGCGAATGGCTTTTTGTTATGTGGAGTATAAATCAAGAATAAAGTCAACTTGACAGTGTAGGACACTTGTAGCAATGAAACAATTAAATGGGAATCCCTTGCATTTGCTCACAATGGGGGATTCTGTTCTTCTGCTTACTTAGGTTCAACTGGTTGGTTTTACTAAGTGGTGTTTGCTTCATCATACCAAACACTTGTATGTAAGACTATTTAACCTGAATGTATACCTTGCTTTGACCATGGTTTGTTATTTGAACACAACTGGTTATGATTTAGTGCTATCCAAATACAATTGATTTCATATTATATTTGTAAATGTTGAAGTCCTTAACATATCAACCAAGTTGTAATTTCTTGCATGTATTATTTTTTTTTACAATTTAAAATGTGTAATATTATGTAAATGCTTCTTTAACAGAAAATCAGACAATTAATGATGAAGATTTGGACACTTTGGTAATGCTGGCTACAAAATCATGCTGGCCCATGTCCGATCCAGGGGCATAAATATTCAAAGTAAGAATTGTTGTGTTAGGGTATCCCTCAATTAAATAAAGTTATTTAATTATTATTAATAATTTGTGAAATTAGTAGATGTTGTTGCTGTTGATTCAAAAAGCTACATCTATTATTCTCTTTATAGCCATCCATAAAACATTTTGTTGTTCTGCTTTTAATAATTTTGGCAATGTTCAATTCATTATAATCATTACATATTTCAAAAAGGGCATCGATTAAGGGCATCAATGCATCGACTTGATCCAGAGGCCATCTTGATGAGACGATTATCCATCCAGACTGCAAGGCGCCGTCAGTACAGTGTTCCCGCTCCCAACAGTCTGTGGCACATACAGTAGATGGGAATCACAAGCTAATTAGGTGAAAATTTTGCTTCTTTCATTTAAGTCTTATGTTGTGTTATATCCTTCTTTGTTAATTTAATGTCCTATACCTGTTAAGGTTTCAATCCTTAAAGCTGAAGTCTGTAAGTTTTTAAAATCACTTTTTTGTCATATTGGCTAAAACTGTCCCTATGCCTGTGAAAAAAACTGCTTCAATTGGTCCTGCATACTGCCTGTATTTCAATCTGGAAAGAATAATTCGGGACGAGTCAAAACAACCAATCACAGCCAGAGGAGCGTCTGATGGAGTGTCAATCACAGCCCCCCCCCCAACACCCCCCCCACCCCCCCAACCCCACCCCACCGCTTACCCTGCCGCAGCGCCCGGCTGCCGCAGTCAGGAGGACACGCGTGGAAGTCATGGCGGAGCGACAGCCACCAGCGAAAGAGAAACTGCCCTTACTGCCCCTGCCGACAACTGCTTACACGGCAAACTTCGGTATAACCAGCATCTTATATCTAGCTGCTTGGAGGTGAGTGTTATCGCTCTTACCGGTTCACACTCCATGCCGCGTACGCTGCTTGGATGCTTGTGGTCGCATGCGGTAGCCGCGCAGATGCTGTGAGAGGGGTGGGGCTTGGAGGTGGGGCATGAGTGAAGCAGAGAGGGTGGGGGAGTGGCGTGAAACCTGTTTTTCTTCAAATTTTCAGTCGAAGTCTGCTCTCTTCTCAATGTTACAGACTGCTGCTTTAAAGTCTTTGTCAGTATCTCTGTCTCTCTCTCTCAGCTACAAACACTAACCCGGATAAGCATGACGGTCAGAAAACTAAACAAATAGCTTCCGGTTTGATGACGTAGAGAGCAGACGTGAGAGCAGGGAGCTCCAGCCGAACTTTTCATTTACCTTTCAAGTCTACCAGTTTAACTGTGCTTTTCCTTGGACTGACTCGTGCATTGCTCAATCTTATGTAAGAAGGTACATTGCGACGTTATGAGCTCCTCAAACTCTAACCCTCAGCCGGCAGTAACAACTCGGGCAGCTAGCGTCTCAGCTAAGCTAGCCAGCATGGCCACCGCAGCCGCACCTGAACTCCCACACCGGGGGGGCAGAAGCGCCGACAGCGGAGGCCACTTCGACCCAGTCACCAGGACCGACCTTGAGGCTCTTTTCACTAAACAACGTGATAGCTTCAAAGCTGACATGGCTATCCTGATCCAACAGTCAACTGAATCTCTGAAGCAGTCAGTGGACTCACTGGGTCAGCAGGTGACGTCATTTAATAACCGTCTTACTAATACTGAAGTCGTGGTGAGTGAAAACTTCGAAAAAAATCACAGAGATGGAAGCTGTTGTTAAGACCTTACAATCCCAAGCCACGGTTCTCCTGGAACGAGTAGACGACCTCGAGAACCGGTCCAGGCGCTCCAACCTGCGGATTATCAACATACCTGAGGGGAGCGAGAGAGACCAGGACCCGACCAAGTTTGCTTCCAACCTGCTGATGGCGGTGATGGGGCCGGACGTTTTCGACAGTCCTCCCGAGATAGAGCAAGCTCACCGCTCTCTCGGCCCCAGACCAGGTGATGCCGGCGCCGGGAAACCGAGAGCCTTCATCATTAAATTCCTCCGCCTCCAAGAGAAGGAAAAAGTCCTCCGATGGGCCAGACAACATAAGATGGATTACCGCGGCTCCGAGCTGAGAGTTTATCCGGACATCAGCGCTGCTCTGGCCAAAAAACGGGCTTCATTCAATACCATCAAAAACTCTCTCTACCTGAAAGGAATAAAATTCCGCCTGCTGCACCCTGCCCGTCTCCAGGTCTCGTTCCGAAATGAGAACTTCTATTTTGACTCTCCAGAAAAAGCCCAGGTTTTTTACAACGAGCGCATCGCTCCCACCGGTTAGTGGATTTATTGAGGATGCCGGCTTTATCTGGACCCTGTGCACGGTAACGTTTGGACGTTTATAACGATCAAGATGTAATTCCAAAGGGCTACTTAAGTTGTTTTTTGTTTTGTTTTTGTTTTTTGTTATTTATTATTTTTATTATTATTTTATTTATTTTTTTATTATTATTATTATTATTTGTTATTATTATTAATTTTTTTTATGTTATATTTTATTATTATTATTATCATCATTATTATTATTATTGTTTTTATTATTTAATTTTTTTTTTTTTTTTAACTTATTTTTCTCTAATCTGAATGCTGATATGGGATTATTACTGCCCCCTGATATTTCTGTTTATTTTGCACCTATTATACATTGTAGACACATTTGCAGATTTAGGAGCCCCGTCTGCTCGGTGAGTGTTAGGTTCATAAGTTTATGTCACACGGAAGTAACAGAGTCTATGGAGTCCCGCTGCTAGTTCTCGTTCTTAGGACATGCTTAGGGAGGTTTAGGTATGTTTATTTGTTCCCTGTTCTAAGGGTTTTTGTTTTGGGGTATTGGGGTGGTAGATCCTACAGATTTGCTTCTGTCTCTATTTTTGTCTGTGCTTTTGTAACACCACGTTCTTCTACCATGCATTGGTTTTTCCTACCATATACTTACATATTAGTCTATGGCTAATACTACAAAAAAAAGGGTATCCTCTCTCAGATTTGTCTCTTGGAATGTTAAAGGGATCAATGGTCCAGTAAAAAGGGGTAGAGTTTTTTCCCATTTGAAACATCTTAAAACGGAAATTGCTTTTTTACAGGAGACGCATTTGATCGCTAAGGATCACCATAGGTTAAAGGCTTCATGGGTTGGCCAAAGTTTCCATTCCAATTTTAGTAGCAAAGCAAGGGGTACAGCGATTTTAATACATAAAAAAATACAGTTTTACCCAACAAACGTTATAGCTGACCATCAAGGCCGGTTTGTTATAGTCTCAGGCTCCCTCATTAATGTACCTGTTGTTCTTGTTAATCTCTATGCACCAAATTGGGACGATGAGGCATTTATTAAGAAAATAACCTCACTTTTACCAGACTTAACTTCCCACCACTTTATCTTAGGAGGCGACCTTAACTGTACTATAAATCCTTTGCTAGACAAATCCTCCCCACGACAGGATTCCCCTTCTAAAGTTGCTAAAGCAATTTTAACGTTTATGGATCAAGTAGGAGGTTTGGATCCATGGCGCTTTATCTATCCTGATAAAAAACAAATTTCTTTTTACTCTCAGGTCCACAAAACATTCTCAAGAATTGATTACTTTTACATTGAAAATTATTTTCTTCCTGTCGTCGAGAACATAGAATATTCTACGATAGTGGTATCTGATCATGCTCCAGTGCTACTCGACCTTTCGTTTACACTTTTACAAAAAACACGCCCCCCATGGAGGCTGAATTGCACATTGCTTAATAATGAGGACTTTAGCCAAACAATATCCAAAGTAATCGATGATTTTCGTATCTCCAACAAGTCTGATCTCATATCCCCATCTCTACTGTGGGAGACATTAAAGGTGGTAGTCCGAGGAGAGATTATTTCTTATTCTGCAAGAGTAAATAAACTCAAAAAACAAAAACAGGAACAACTCATGAAAAGCATAACAGAATTGGACAGAAAATTATCAACATCTCCATCCCCTGAATTAGATAAAGAGAGGCAAACCCTTCAAATGGAATATAACTTGCTGTCAACACAAGAAACTGAAAAATTAATGTTACGATCGCGTGGATTTCTCTACGAACATGGTGAGAAGGCAGGACGCCATCTGTCACGCCTAATAAAAAACCAATCTGTATCCCAGCAAATTAAACAGATAAGAACCCCTTCAGGTGAACTTACAGTAGCGCCATCTGTCATAAATGAAACCTTTAAAACATTTTACTCTGAACTATACACGTCACAATCCCTACCTGACAAAACAAACATGATGAGCTTTCTGGATAACCTAAATTTTCCACCCATTTCTGCTATCCAGAAGAGTGAAATGGATCGACCCTTAGAATCTCGTGAAATAGCAAACTCAATTAAACTAATGCAGAGTGGCAAGGCCCCTGGCCCTGATGGTTACCCTATAGAGTTTTATAAAAAATTTGCTGATAAATTAACTCCTCTTCTCTTAGACATGTTCAATGACTCTCTGGACCGGGGAGCTCTGCCCCAAACTCTCACAGAGGCATCAATAACCTTATTACTAAAGCCGGGTAAAGAAGATTCCGAGTGTAGCTCTTACCGTCCTATCTCCCTTTTAAATGCTGATTATAAGATTCTAGCTAAGGCACTGGCCTTACGTCTTGAATCAGTCATGCCAAGCATCATCTCACCCGACCAAACCGGGTTTATGAAAAACAGACACTCTTTTTCCAACGTCCGCCGCCTCCTCGACCTTCTTTTCTCTCCCGCATCCAGGGAGACGCCAGAAGTGGTGGTCTCCCTGGATGCAGAAAAGGCTTTTGATAGGGTGGAGTGGAGTTATTTATTAGAGGTCTTAAAGAGGTTTTGCATTGGGTCTAGGTATACATCTTGGATTTCACTCTTATACTCTTCCCCTAAAGCATCTGTAAGCACTAATGAGATGAAATCCCAATATTTTACACTTAACCGAGGAACCCGCCAAGGGTGCCCTCTGAGTCCACTGTTGTTTGCTGTGGCAATCGAACCTTTATCTATTGCACTTGAATCGGCCAGTTTTAATAAAGGAATCTACAGATGTGGTTTGGAACATACACTTTCCTTGTATGCAGACGATTTACTATTGTTTATTTCTGATCCAGTAACCACCATCCCCAAAATAACTGAATTGCTAAACCGTTTTGGAGCATTTTCCGGCTAGAAGTTGAACTTCTCAAAAAGCGAATGTTTTCCTGTTAATAACTTAGCCCTCGGGATCCCTGATGTGTGTTTTCCATTTAAAGTGTCTAAAAGCAGCTTTAAATATTTAGGAGTGCATATTTGCCGCAAGATTTCAGATCTCTACAAGACCAATTTTCAACCCCTAATTGAAAAGCTTAAATCAGATCTGGAAAGATGGTGTAACTTGCACATAACTATAGCGGGAAGGGTAAACTGCATCAAAATGAACGTGCTTCCACGTTTTCTCTATCTTTTCCAATGCTTGCCGATCTTTTTACCCAATTCCTTTTTTCGTGCTATCAATAGGCTAATTTCATCTTTTATATGGAAAGGCAAGACTGCCAGAAAAAGGAGAGAGCTTTTACAAAGGCATAAGTCGGTTGGTGGTTTGTCACTCCCTGATCTAAGACTCTACTATTGGGCAGCCAACATAAACAAAATGACTCTCTGGATTCGCGAACCTGAATTAATCTGGTGTAAACTAGAAGCTAAATCCTGTTCTACGTCACTTCTAGCTTTACTTACACAAATATTGCCCTTTCGACCATCCCAATATACATGTAACCCAATTGTCGTCTCCACCCTTAAAATTTGGCTCCAATTCAGACGTACTTTTGGACTCATAGGACTGTCCAATTACAGCCCCATACATAACAACCATCTCTTCCTCCCTCCTAGCATTGATAATGCCTTTTCTCTATGGCAGAGATCTGGCCTTGTTAGGCTAAGTGATCTATATATTAACAATGTCTTTGCTAGCTTCAACGAATTATGTGGAAAATTCAACCTCCCAAAATCTCATCTATTCCGATACTTCCAGATTCGTAACTTTGTTAAATCCAATAGCAGCTATTTTCCTAATGCCCCACCTAACTCAGTAATTGACTTAATTTTGGACATTCCCACAAATCAGAAAGGCCTTATCTCCAAAATATACACCTTAATATCCCATCTCAAAGAGACATCTCTTTATAAAATCAAGAAAGACTGGGAACTTGGTAGGGTTATTGATGACGGCGTCTGGGACTCAGCATTAACTCGTGTAAATAATAGTTCATCTTGCTCCAGGCTTAATCTCATACAATTTAAGGTTGTCCATCGTATTTATTTTACCAATTCTAAACTTTCCAAAATTTATCCCGAGGTCGCAGACGTATGCAATAGGTGTCACATGTCACCAGCAAACATGACTCACATGTTCTGGTCCTGTCCCCGTCTGCAAGATTACTGGACGGCTGTTTTCAAACATCTTGGAGAAGCACTAAATGTGAAATTGACACCTTGTCCTGAATTGGCTATTTTTGGATTAATAGACCATAAAAAAATTAAGAAAAAGTTCAAGGATAGTCTTGCTTTTGCTTCTCTATTAGCGCGGAGAAGAATTTTGTTGGAATGGAAGGCACCAGGGGCCCCAAAAGCTTCACTGTGGCTTAAAGATCTCATGTTGCACATAGACCTGGAGAAAATTAAATATGATCTGAGGGGGGCACCTGGAAAATTTGATTCAGTTTGGGGCTGCATGATTAGCTACATAGCTAGAATGAAGACACTGCAGGACGGGTGAAGCATCCACTTTTGAAACCTGACTTTTGATTGCTTTTTTCTTTTCCTCCAGGCTTCATCTCGGCCCATTGAAACATTTTTACTTCTCAGTTTTGTTTTGTGGTGTTTTCTGTTCATTTATTTGTGTTGTACTTGCTGCTCTCCCTTTTTTTTTTTTATTCACATGTTCTTGTACGGTAAGAAGGAAGGATGTGGGTTATTACTGATTTATAGCATAATCTTGTAGGATTGGGGAGGGCTGGGGAAGGGAAGGGAATGAGGGGTTGTTGCTTTTGTAAAAATGAAAAAAAAAAAATTGTTTGTACTTGACCTTGTCACATGAATAAAACATTATAAAAAAAAAAAAAAAAGAAAACTAAACAAATAACCCGCAAAATTATTTAAGTCTTTGAGCTGCGATGTAAGACGCTGGTTCTGCTCTCGCTGTTGAACCGCCGCTACGCTACAGGTAGTAATATTTCACAGACGGAGCTTCGCTTCTGCTCCACCTGGTAGTGACTCTCACACCAAACCTCTGCTTAAAGCTGCAGCATCTAACTTAAAAAAAATACATTTTACATACATATTAAAACTTTCGCTGCCCTAACATGAGACAGATAATCTCTGAAAAAATAATTGGTGTCCTCCCTGTTCTGCATAATTTCTCCACTCAGTCAGAAACAGCCAATCAGAGCTAGCAGTAATCAGCTAGCCGCCATGCTATCAGGAAGTTTTCATTCAGTAACTCTGGATTGTTTATTGTAATGGAACTTGTTTTTGCCTTTGAATGTTAAGTTTTATACTTGAAGGTTTTTGGAAATGTTGAGAGGTTTTATTTTGGCTCTTTGCATTATTTAGCCTCTTCAGAGCCTTCATATGTTATCAGTCTGTTAAAGGTAGTATTATCAATAGCAGTACAATTTGCACAATGCCTGTTTTCTTATTAGAAAAAGTTTTTAAAAACAAGTTTTTGTCTATATGAAGGTGAATTCATGGTTCCTTTTTCCCCATAATGTAACCGGTAGTGTTTATGATAATAATAATAATAATTATTATTATGTGATCGGTAGCGGTGACCGGCCCTCATAGGTGATCTGTATCGGTAGGAAAAAACCTGATCGGCACATGTCTAATATATATATTTTGTGTGTATGTCAAGTCTGTCATTTATATATGAAAGTATGTGTTTCGGCTTCTTTTTTCCATAGATGGAGGATCGTGGTCCATGGTGGAGTAGATGGATTTTCCAGGTTAATAGTGTACCTTGATGCTTCCACCAACAATAGAGCTTTGACTGTTCTCCATAGCTTCATATCGGCAGTATGGTGTACCTTCTCGAGTTCGGTATGTTTTGCACTCATTTTTCTACAATGCATCACACTGAAAATTTAAGAACTACATGTGAGACAGAAATAATTATGTTTAGCCTAATTTTTCAACAGTAATTCAGTGTTCTAATTTAATTTATCACGTTATTATAATTGCATTTAATGTTTATGTGATACAGATGTAATATGGATTACTTACTGCTGCATTATCATTTAAAAATCCATATATTGAATTTCTGGTTGCATTGTCTTTTTACATTGTGCTGGTCAAGGATGTAGTTCGCTCTTTTTTCTTTTTTTTTTGTTAATCCTTTAATTACTTGTACTCATGTCTACAGATCTGACAAGGGGGGTGAAAATGTGATGATTGCTCAGTTTATGGTCCAAACTAATGGAGTGAACAGGAATTCTCATATGACTGGAAGAAGTGTGCATAACCAGAGGTATGAGGGGGTTGGGAGACTAAGCGTAAAAATACTGTTGAAGGCAAAAAAAAAAAAAACATTTACTGTGCCAGAGTTTCTCTGTGATAATTAACATTAATATCCAATTTCTTCATATTTTTTAATATGTTCATACCATTTTTTTCTTAAATGTACTGAATTTATACTCGATCTAACATCATTTGTTGTATATTATCGTTAGTTTGTATATTATCTGTTGTACAATGTGTGCTAAAGAAGAAATGCATTTTATTCCCATACAGAATAGAGCGCCTTTGGAGAGATGTTTATGAGAATGTGCTCGATCTGTACTACACAGTCTTCATGCAAATGGAAGCCGAGGGAATTCTAAATCCAGATGATGAGATTGAGTTGTATTCACTACACAGATGCTTCATGCCACCGATTCAACATGGCCTTCACTGCTTCAAGGTGGCATGGAATAACCATGGTCTACGAACTTCGAGCCACTATACACCTTTGCAGTTGTGGCTACTAAATGAGAAGGAAGGACGTGACTTTTCGGAGGTACTCTCCCATTTTGTACTAGCTTATGTACACTCACCATATTCTTTGTGTTTAGGTTGGTGATGACTATGGTGTAGACTGGGAAGGTCCACATACCCCATCCACTTCTAACGTCAGTATTCCTGAGGTCCAACTTATGCGCCCATTAAACGCAGAAGACCTTGCGGCATTGCCAAGCACCGATGTTCCTCTCACACAGACGCTGGGAGTTTATATTGAAACTGTTCAGGCAATGACAGCTTTGTTGCTCCCATAATCTTGACTCAGTCTTAATCTTTAGAAATTTTGCCGTTGTGAATTTCATTGTAAAAGGTGCACCGGTGGCAATTCTGGATGATCGACAAATGACAGTCTTTAAGAAAAGAAAAATAATTATCTGCTGATTAACTGTCTTAATAAATGGCTTCCCTCCCCGGTTTATTATTGTTTCTCAACTGTTCCTGCTTTGCTAGAGCAGCGGTGCAATACGTCAGTGATCTTGGAAGGTTTTGAGTCGATCTCCGCATTAGGTGACAAACTGAACGACGCAAGGACGCTGAGACCACGTCCTCCTCTGACTCCTTATCAAAACGTTCAAAACTTTATTAAAGAACAACAACAACAAAAAAAATCAAGTTCAAATTAATGACACAACAAAAATAATAATCTCAGTAATTAATGTTTCGGTTCCATTACCAACATAACCAGCAGTGCAGGAGTTTTAAATTAACTAATCAACCACCGCTGTGTTCAGGGAGGCTTATTAGTAATCGCAAAATAAGCCTGAAAAACTGATATCGTGACGGGCTGAATGTTACGTTTTTAACGTTATCGGTGCTCCAGAAAAGGAGCAGGAGGTTGCCATGGCAACGGTTGTGCTTAAACGACAGAGACAAAAGGTGAGAGTGGTTTTGAATTGATCACCTGTTCAAGTTGTTTACCTTTGCTGTGGTTCATCACAGCAGCTGTAGTTTCTGAACGTTCAATAAACGACAAACTTGGACTAATTATGTCGTTCTTTATGACTATACGTCATTTACAACAAACATCAAACACGGTAAATATGTTTCATTAAGTAACAAACAAATGGCTTCTACCGCGATAATTATGTGAAATTAAGTTGTCTAATTTAAAAATAATAGTTGTATTGCTCTCTGGCATCTCGCTTTGAGCTCAGAGTATGAGAGGCTTTTCCTCTATCTATTTTTTTTTTGCTTCTTATTTAGTGGAAATATTGATGTTGATGAGATTTTCTCCAAAATAATCTTTTTCAACCTTTATAGCTCCACTGTTGAAAATGAGGCTCTAACATTCACAAATGACAGTGAAATAAAATCCAGTACAACAACTGATTTGAGTTGAGGTGATTCCTCTGTAACCTTTTGGAGGAAAAATATCCCAACTTCAGAAGATGAGCTTTAACTAGGGTGACCAAACGTCCGTATTTCCCGGGACATATCCGTATTTCACGTCCTGTCCCGGGCGTCCCGGGTTTTTTTTAGAAAGTGAGGAAATGTCCTGATTTCACTGCGCACGACGCTGCGTGTGACGTAATCCCTGAGCCGCGTCAGTGCGGGCAGCCCTGCTCTTAATCAAAGGCTCTGTTCGAAATCCTGGGCTGCATCCTCCAAGGATGCGGTCTACCTAGACTGGATCCTTCGAAGTCATTAAAAATAAGGAGGCCGGGAGAGTTTTGGCTGTAAATTCGAACAGGTCCTCCCTTCGGCGGGTTTTACCGGCGTATGCTTTGTTGCTTAGCAACCGTGAAAGTTGACACACAAAGCAGGAAAAGAATGAAAACCGAAGTTTTCAAAACTGTTTGTTTATTTATTTATTTTTTAAAAAGTTAAAGTAAACAAAGACTACACTCACAAGAATCCAGAGTGGAATAAAGGTTCCAACCACCGGGAGCAGGAACAAATCAAATCAAATGTAATGATAGAAACCTTAGTCAGTTAAATAACCTGCTGCAGTCATTCTGCACATCTCTCATGTTGCTGCTATTTTCAAATATCCATTACTGTAAAAATGTCCATAGCTGCATATTGGTTATTTATTCTCCGGTTTTATATTGTTAAAAAACTTTACAGAATTTTATTTTTTATATTTTAACTCTTCCCTATTATGTTATTCTTATACATTTTTCTAAGGTCCTCATTTGTGTGACCATTTTCAATAATCTTTCTGCTGCTGTAAATTTGCCCATTGTGGGACAATAAAGGGATTTTCTATTCTATTCTATAAAAGAGTTAGAAATATATAAGTAAATCTAAACAATTTTAACTACAAAATATATCTGCAAAATCTCTAATATTCAACAACAAAAAATACTTAGTTAAGCATATTGTGCAAAACAGTAATAAAAAGATAAAACTCCTATCAGATTTATAGTTCCCACCCTGCAGATATATTAGAATCTGTCCTTAAATTCCAGCCAAACCCATTTACACAGTAACAGATAAAAACCTTTAGATAAATCAAACATTACCGCCACATATCTGACTCAATAACCATTAAAACAACTAGTAACAAGTAACATTTCCTCTGATCACGGAGCAAATCCCGATGATGAGACGTTTGTTCTTTCAATCAACCCCCCCCCACACACACACACACACCCCCGCTCCAAGGTGTCCTGGTTTTCCCAAATGAAAATATGGTCACCCTACTTTAACCTAACAGAGCTCTGTGGTTCCTCCTGTCAGTATGAGAGTCAGGGTGAGGAGGCGCCATATTAGGAAGAGAAGTGGAAGCTGGATGATCTTCAGAACAAACAGGTCA